TCTTTTGAGACCATTTTCAATGCCAAAATGCTCCAGAGTTTGGAGTTTTGGTCGGAGATGGGTGCTAAGTTCATAGGAGGCTCATGATCCTAAGATACTCAGTCACGTTATGGCGGCCAAAGCTAGGTTATTTTTATTCCTTTTACCCAATATAAAAGAGACTTACAAAAAATCCTAAATTTTTTCTCTTTTCTAATCAAGACCAAACTCTAGGACCCTTTGTCACATGCTTCTTAACTTTCTGGTGATAAAACTTCAAAATATTAAGATATGACATGGAGGCCAGAATAACAAGATAAAAATTCCTGGTTTTCAGTTCATCCCTTGGCTGGTAGATTTGATCCAGCTCCACTTTACTCTGAACATGAATACTGGCCTGTTGGAGTAAGGCACTTGGCCAAAGACAGACAGAAGGAGCAGAATGCTTCCTGAATTTACTGATCCCCTACAGAATCAATAACAAAAACACTCACATTTCAAACATTGTCTGTGTTAGAAAATCAATTAAGTCAATAGAGAATAAGCCAACTAGTCTACTGCTGCAGTTTTCCAATGAAAGATTAGCCTCTTTATAATAAACACGCTTCAAAAAAATCTTCAAGGGCTGGCCTGTAGCTCACTTGGGAGAGTGTGGTGCTGATGGCACCAGGGCCGCGGGTTTGGATCCCTATACAGGGATGGCCGGTTAGCTCACTTGGGAGAGTATGGGGCTGACAACACCAAGTCAAGGGTTAAGATCCCCTTACTGGTCATCTTAAAAAAAAAAAAAAAACCTTCAAGATTTCTCCATCTTCCTTCATTTCCAAGTGTTATTCATTGTTCTCATCCATGTGATAGAATTGTGTACCTGCCCAATAAGTGCAATACCCTATTTCAATAAGAAATTTAAAAGACAGTTTGGTAAATTTCACCCTTTTAGGTGCTATTAGTCATCTTAACAAGTTCACATTTTATTTCTGGTCAGATTAGCTAATGTCATTTAATTTAATTCATCAAAAGAGAAATATTTCATATTTTCTCGTTTAAAAAACTATGAACTATACTGAGGTAAGTGATGAGAAATTTTCTTTAAAGAACAAAAATAATTTTTAGAATGTTAAAATATAGCATATAGAACATGTACTACAATAAAAACAGCTTGCCAGTACTGATTTTCAGAGCTGTCTCTGAATACAGAGGCCAGTAGCTTTGAGATGGAGGTGTTGTGACCCAACCAGATTTGGCCAGGAGGCAAATACTGAAGACTGTGCAGCTGAGAAGCAAGCAGTGCATCCTTCAAAATAGCCACCGGGGCCTGGTCATCCCTGTAAACTCAGACCAAGCTCAAAAAAGAACAATTTTTATGCTCAGCAAGAACAGCTTCTCAAATTGGTCCTTGTAGAAGTTCAAAAGTTCACATGAAGTCAACTGTATGAAGCTGATGTGGAAGTGATACAGTTTGGATATGTTTGTTTGCCAAAACTCATGTTGAAATCTGATTCCCAGTGTGGCAGTGTTAGGAGGCATCTGGGTCATGGGGGCGGATCCTTCATGAATTGATTAATGCCCTCCCAGGGGGTGGTTAGGGAAGGCTGTGAATGAGATCCCTCTCTATTAGCTCCTGGAAGAGCGGAGCATGACAACTCCCTCCCTCTCTATCTTGCTTCCTCTCACCATGTGACCTCCTTGCACTTACCAGGAGGTAGGTGCCTGCTGCTTTCAGCCATGAGGAGAAGCAGCCTGAGGCCTGTGCCAGATGCTGCTGTCTCAGAATCATGAGTCAAATAAACCTCTTCTCTTTATAAATTATACAGTCTCAAGTAGTCTGTTATAACAACACAAAAATGGACTGATACAAGAGGCAAGGTCGTAAACTTTTGCCTTTTCTCCTCTAAGTTGGCTCACAGAAAACTCAAAGTTAAAGGACTAACAAAGACAATAATCATTATCACTTACTGGCATTTGCTGGACTCTGTGCAACACACTTTTATATTATTGCCAATTTTTTCAACAGCCTTTTTCAAATTTCTCAGGTAGATTTTCAGACCTCCCATCTATTGGACTCTAAAGCACAGGCTCTTTCCCTATGCAGGCCTTTACTGATCATGTCCCTCTAACTGATATACTAGATGCAAGAAATTAACAAAAAATAATATAAAAATTAAAACTAAGATCTGGTCTCTGTCCTTGAAAAGGTTGCCATGGGTATATACTCTCTTTGGACTCACCCAGCCAATGAGTTTAGACTGACTGTGACTGTACACCCCTCCCCTGCCCCACTACATGGTGAGCTGTTCCTCACAGACAGATCTTCCCAGAGACAGGGACTCAAACTCATGTAGGGTTTGGCCCTCATGCCTATATTCTCATGGCAGAGGTTGGCCCCATGAATGTCTGGAAACTGCTGCATGAACAAAAGATCAGACACCGAATCCAACAGGCTCATTTCTGTGGCTCTGAGAAGCTCTTGGATGTTCTTTTGCCTTAAATCTAAAACATATCTGACCAGGAACTATTTCCTTACTCCTTAGAAGTATCAGCAGGACGCCGTTTCTTATATGGAGAGGCAACATAGCCTGTTGTTAAGTAGCATGGACTCTAGGACTAGACTGCTAGACTGCCTGGGTTTGAAACCTAGATCGCCCACTCATCAGCTTTGCGATCTGGAGCAAGGTTTTCAACCTTGCTGGGCCTCAGTTTCCTCATCTGTAAAAGGGGGATGACTGATTTAATATATCACATTAAAGTGCTCAGAACAGTGCCTGGCACACAACAAATGCTATGTAAGTGATAGCTATCAATAAAAACAGTAATGACCATCACCACCAAAGTGGGGAAAAATCTTTTTTTTTTTAAAAGATGACCGGTAAGGGGATCTAACCCTTGACTTGGTGTTGTCAGCACCACGCTCAGCCAGTGAGCCACAGGCCGGCCCCGGAAAAATCTTTTTAACTGCTCAAATATCCCTCTGCTCCTCTATATTCTAAAGAACAGTATCCTAAATAGGAAATTAATACTACAACCAAGCTGGTATTGAGTTGGGGTTAAGAATCACACAGTTTGAATGCTGGTTCTGCCATTTACTAGTCACATGTCCCAAGGCAAGGTACTTAACCTCCCTAAACCTGTAAAGTGGAGACACTAATTAATACCCACCTCTGAGGCTGTAAGGATCAAGTGAAGTAATACTTGTAAAACTCAGCACATGTCTGGCACTCATTAGTGTGAGATAAGTGGTAACTGCTGTCATGAAGGATTTTCCTTAATGAATTTATCTTTCAAAGGCAGCACGAAGGATTCTAAGTCACAGAATGCATAATTATCCAGTTAGGAAAATCTGTGCAAGAGAGATCTGTTTTCAACAAGTTCTAATCACATCAGCAAAGATGTCCAATAACAAGGGATTAGTGCTTAGGCTGTTTGGAACAGAATTAGTTTGATAAATGTGAAAAGATCTTTTACAGTTTTCTCAGCAAGAGTGATCTGTGATGGGTGCATAATAGGAAAAGAAGAATATAGACAGTTCCAAACTTACGATGTTCAGTGCGACGATTTTTCGACTCCGTACCCGTACCAGCATTCTGGTTTTCACTGTCAGTAAATTATTCAATAAATTACATGAGTTATTCAACACTTTATTATAAAATAGACTTTAGATGATTTGTCCAACCGTAAGCTAATGTAATCATTCTGAGCACATTTAAGGTAGGCTAGGCTAAGCTATGACGTTTGGTAGGTTAGGTGTATTAAATGCATTTTCAACTTCTGATATTTCCAACTTACAATGGATTTATTGGGACATAACCCCATCATAAGCCAACGAGCATCTGTATTGGATTCATGTTAATGCCCTCCTTAGTTTTCTTCTGGTTAAGATTACAGTTGCAAAAAGCTAAAAGGGTAGTGACTTGGATGCCTGGCATCTACTCAAGAGAGATGAGATTTGCACAAGGGAAGACTCACATATAGAGCACACCTGTTCGAGACATGCTCATTTATAAAGTATCACCTTACATCCAGGAACTGTCATTTCACATCCATCACTTTGGTCCTCATTGTCAGCATTCAGGAAACTGATGGAGCGAGCACTTTTTATGGAGTGAGCACTTTCTATGTGCCACGCAGGATTCTAGGCGCTGGGAGCTATACAGGGAGCACAAAAGCCCCCTGCTCTCATGGAGTGAATTTTTGCAATAGAGAGACAGATAATAAACATATAAACAAACAATTTAATAATGTATAAAAGCAAATTCATAATTTCAAATCATAAGTTCCTTGAAGAATGTAAAGAGGTGTATTAGATACATGACTGGGGTGGGGGTGGAGAAACATTACATGGGGGGAGTCAAGGAAGGGCTCTCTGAGAAGGTGACATCTTGTTTGAGACCCAAATGACAAGAAGCAAGTGAAGACCACAAAAGGGCCTTCCAAGCCGAACTTGGGCAGATCTGAAATGAGCAGGCCTAAGTCCCTTTGGAACTTTGTGACTGCCAACGCTAGTACCTAGTGCTCACATATGCTCTGGATGGGACCACGCAGCCTGACTCGTGGGCTATGGCATGTTCTGGGGATCCAGAGTCCCCACCCCCCCGAATGTCACACCCAATCATCCACATCAGGGAGGGTGATTTTGGTTGGGGGCCTAAAAGTGAAGGAAAGGAGATTTAAAAGAGGCATAAGGAACCTACAAGCCAATTGCAATATAGGAACATGATTTGGATCCTGAATTGAACAAACTATAATTAAAAAGGAAAAAAAAAAAAGAAAAAGACACTTGGAAGATTGAACTGTTATTAAGAAATACTGTTAAGTGTTTTAGTTGTGGTGATACTATTGTGCTTATGTTTATGATATGGGCTCATTTGTATGCCCCCAAACTGCATATGTTGAAGTCCTAACTTTCAGTACCTCAGAATGCGACTGTATTTGGAGATAGGACTTTTAAAGATGTAATTAAGTTAAAATGAGGTTATTAGGGTGAACCCTAATTCAGAATGACTGGTGTTTTTATTTTTGGCAGCTGGCTGCTAGAGGGCTTGAACCCTAGACCTTGGTGTTACCAGCACCACGCTCTAACCAACTGAGCTAACCAGCCAGCCCTGACTGGTGTTCTTGTAAAAAAAGATTAGGACACAGACACAAATCCATGGACAGATGACCACACTGTGAACATACAGCAAGAAGGTGGCCATCTACAAGCCAAGGTTTCAGAAGCAACCAAACAGGATGACACCTTGATCTCCAGACTTCTAGCATCCATGATTGGGAGAAAATAAATTTCTGCCGATAAGTCACCCAGACTGTGGTATTTTGTTTTGGCAACCCTGACAAACTAGAACAGTTTACAAAGAGTCTACATATCTTAGCGAAATGCACTGGGCCCCTGGCATTGATATCTTTTAAAAGCTGTCAGGGGAAATTCCTAATGTTGATAACCACTGGCCTATACAAACAGAGCCAGAAGTTCTTCATGGGAGAAATAAGGGAAGACTTGAAGGAAAATACCATGTTCCTGGATGATAAAAGTAAATACTACAAAAATAAACTTTTCCAACTGAAGTTACAGATTAAAATTCCTATTAAAAAATGTGATGAGCTGTGCTACAGTTCACCAATATTTACTTTCCCTCCCTAAGAAGGATGTAGTCCCCCATCCCACTGAAGTTAGGCGTGGCTGTGTAGTGTACTTTGGCCAATAAATCGTGAGCAGGAATGACCTATATCATTTCCAGGCAGAAGCTTCAAAAGCCACACTCTTTCCACACTCTGTGAGTCTGGTAATGCGGCAGCTGGTGGCTGCTCCATCAATCTGTGTCCTTGAGTGAGGACAGGGACACAGAACCATCCACCTAAGCCATGATGAATGTAGTGTGAGGAAGAAATAGATCTTCATTTTTAATCAATGAGATTTGGGAGTTTGTTTCCATGGCATAATCTAGTCCATCTTGACCAATACAGAAATTCAACATAGAACTTGACAAAATAATTCTAAAGTTCACTTGAAAGAAATCAATAGGCAGGGAGACAAAAGTGCACCAGGAAGGAGCAATGAGTCAGGGTTAGAGCTGTCAGATATTAGGCCATATCACAAAGCAGCAATGATTAAAAATTACCAACAATACTGAGTGTGGAAACAAAAGTCAACAAACATTTGTACTGAACTATATAAAGCCTTATGTAGACAGCTAATACACTGATGAATTTAATACATGATTAACTGTAATGAAGGTTTTTTAATTCTAGCATGTTAAGGAGCTGCCTCAGTTTACTGATCAAAAGTAACAAATGTGGGCTTTGCTCTAATGTACCAGGCTGCTTTTTTTTTTTTTTTTTGTCTTTTTTCGTGACCGGCAACGGATCGCAACCCTCGGTGTTGCACCCACACCTCGCTCAGCCAGTGAGCAGCCGGTCTGTATGTGGGATCCAAACCCTCGGCGGGAGCGCCGCCGCACTCCCAAGCGGTGCACTGTAGCAGTGCGCCACCGGACCGGCCCCCCCAGGCTGCTTTTGTTGAAGGACTGCTCCTTATTCACCAGTCCAGGGAAACATTTATAAAGAACACATCATTTTAAACTTAAATTACATCAATAGCACCTAACGAAACTCTAGCACTTTCTCTCTCTAGCTTCTTCCAATCTACCAAAGATGTTTTAATTTTTTAGATTTCAACAAAGTGTCTGAATTCTGGATATTTGACAGTTTTAAGGTCACATTTGTTTGACCTTATCTCCCAGTGCTTAAAAGATGCACCTCAACAATGAAAAGACGTATTAACACACAAAAACCTGAATAACAGGGCTAGAAAAATCACCCCATATCTTCTAGGTCACTTGCATTTCTGGAAAATTACTTAAGTATATAACAAACTGTAGGAATTTACATCTAAAATTCTGATGAAACAAAATGTAACAACAACAACAAATAAAAGTAAACTGTTACATTACTTTTTAAAATTGGGGGGCTGAAGCTCTCCTTAGAAGGACTCACCTCATCTCTATGGATTTTTTCATGCTCAGATTCTCTTCAGCCCAAATACACTGTGCTCCTAAAGGTAGCTGTGCATGCTGTTTTTCTTCTTGGCCTGTCCTCCCCAAAGTTTATGAGCTCCAACTCATCCTCACCTTTGAGGATCCTGCTCAAATGCCTTTCCCAGGAGAATCCTTCCTTCTGTGATGCGACTCCTTGCCTGTGCAATCCGACCGGTGTCCCTGAGCTGCTGCAGCGTGCTAATCAGACCCTCTCCATCAGTGCATGCATCACACTGTACTGAAATTATTTATTGATATTCTTGTTTCCCCCTGCCCCCGCAGAAGACTTCTTATTTGTCTGGGTCACACAGAGCATGGCTAATCCCTCACCCACATTAACAGAACTTCAAGTATTTGAATAAGAATAAACCTAAACATTTAATAAATCTTTACTATATGTTAATCAACTGCCTGCCAAGTCCTTAGCAACCCACATTTAACTGTAGCTCCCATTATTGCAGTTGAAGAATGTGGAACTAAGGTTAAGCAAACTGCTCAAGGTCACAGAGCCAGGCATTGGCAGGGCTGGGGTATCCAATCCAGAGCCTGCCTCCTGACCTGGTTCCTTTCTGCAAGCACATCCCACACTGAGCCTACTCTGTTCTCCTTCAACTACTGGACTCCCCTGAGTTTGTGTGGTAATGCCTTTTAATCTGCTCTTCTTTGTCTGCAGCCCATAGCACAGCACTCTGGGGGCAGGTGGGAGGCTTGGACCACACAGACCCAGCTATTCTACTAGCTCTGAAATGATTCTGGAGGCTGGGACAGCCAGATCCAGGCTCCTTTCTTAGCTCCTCTTCTTACTGCCTCTATACCTTTGCCTGAATTACTTAACCCCACTGGGCCTCAGTATTACCATCAGAATTTTACTACTGTCTCCTGGGTTGCTACAGAGATTAAAGGGATTATGTCTCCATGAGACATCAGTACTGTACTTGGCACACACTGAGTGCCCTCACCGGCACTTCACATCTTCTTGTTGGTACACTGTGCTGTTAGACAGCGCTCCCAAGTCTCTGTCTGGGCCCTGCAGCCAAGCCACGCCTCCCCATCCCCTATTTGTATAGAAGGATCTTTATATCTAAGTACAGGACCTTAGAATTAGTCCCCACTGTTTTCATTTGTGTTAGATTTTGCCTGTTTCTGCCTTGTGGATCCAATTCTGTCTCCCACATACCCACTATTCCCCATGGGTCTGTGTTATCTGTAACACAGAGTGCGTATGGAGGCGGAAACGGACTCAGAATACCCAGCACTGTGCTTGGCACTAAGCAGGCACACCTGCTGACGCTTCCCTACCTGTGACCTTCCCTTACCTGCCCTACAGGAGACAAGGTCATTCCTGCTTACATGTTACCAATGGCAGCATAAGCCAGAATGACCTTGCAAGAGAACAATCTGACGCGATGTACAAATATGCATAAAAAATGTTGACTCCATAATTCTACTGGAAATTTACTCCAAAGAAGTCATTAAAGAGAAACAAATTTCTATGTACAACATGTTTATAGTGTCATTATTTAAAATGCTGAAAAACTCTAAATAATCTAAATGCCCTATAAAGAGGAGTGTTAAATAAACTGTAACAGAGCAATAATAACAATGTGGCTCTTAAAAAGATTAAATATAATGACTATGCATCTTTATATTAGTGAATATAAAGTTATTTAAATAAATTACCATACATAATACACACTATGACTGCAACTAAATAAAAACTATGTACACATAGATAAAGAGAGAATGGGAGGATAAAGAATAGAAAATTATAGTTATGGTGAGATTACGGATAATAATTTTCAGTTGTTTCCCATTAAAACATATTAGAATTTATTTGGTCATAAACATCCCGAATATTTATACACATACAGACACATATTTTACGTGGTTATTATTTATGTGTGCATATATAATCTGAAAGGAGAGCTACACAGGAATCAAGAATGAGCAGACCAGAAGCCAGGGCCTTAGCTAACACAGGATTTTAATTAAGGTCAAGAAGCATTTGTCTAAATATGAGATCTAGTTCCTGTCCTCAAGGAACTTGAAATTCAGTGAGTTGCTAATGTGCCAGATTCCCTGCCCACTGACCTTCTTATGCCTCATCACGTGCCTGCCTGCCAGTCAGGAGTCCTGAGGAAGGATCGTCAGGATGGTATAAAAGTGAAGGGCATAAGCCCCGCCACCCGGAGCACCCTCCCGGCTCTGACACCTAACCAGCCAGGGGTCCGTGGGCCAGCCCTCCCCCAGTGAGCATCAGTTTCTGCCTCTGTGAGATGGGGTGGCTGCAGTGCCCATCTCAAAGCCTGGTGTGAGGCATAGCGTCATAAGTGCCCAGGACAAGTCAGCTGCCATTATAACTGTGTGCCCCACCACCTCTTGCAGATGGGCAGAAATTTTAAACTTAAAAAAATAAGGCAGCAGCAGAAGTAGCAGCATACTTGCAGTGAGAACAGAAAAAGGGGGTCTCCACTGGCCATGCCCCTGGCTTACCATAGGTGAACATGCGTGGCGAGGTCAGTTCAATGTTGGGCAGGGCGCCCAGGTGGTTCAGCACAGCGCACCGATAACCATTTTTCTGGGCGTAGTCAACGAAGGTGCGGATATACTGTTTCTCACTGTGATTGGCAATTCCGGGGCAGATGACCATGGTGACGTCCTCTACAGGGTGCAGAAAGAGATCCTGATGTATCCAATAAATGTGACATAATGAATGTACACAATTATACTTCACTGGCTTAGAAAACAGGAGGAGGGAATTTAACATACATCTCTTCACTGAATTTTCTGGGAAAGAATATCTTTCCCTTCTAGCTAGAGATGCTTATATTAGCGCTTTGCAAACCATTTATGGTGAAGGGTCAGTTTTTAAAATTTCCAGTCCATCATGGATAGACACTTTTGAAAAATACAATAAAAAATAATTACTAGAAAAATGAAATAAAAATATAAGCCTCAATTTTTAATTATTAAATTCAACAGATATAAAATTACTGTCAAATTGCTATACAAGTTCCTAAACATTACTCTTAATTTCTGTATGAAATTCCATATTAATAAACAAACGAATGAATGGAAAAATAAAATGTAATGTTTGCACAGACCTCTTTGACCCAGCAATTTTACTTTCAGGTATTTATTTATTCCACAGATATATGAAGGTTCTTCAAAAAGTTCATGGAGGGCCGGCCCGTGGCTCACTCGGGAGAGTGTGGTGCTGATAACACCAAGGCCCCGGGTTCGGATCCCACATAGGGATGGCCGGTTCGCTCACTGGGTGAGCGTGGTGCTGACAACACCAAGCCAAGGGTTAAGATCCCCTTACCGGTCATCTTTACAAAAAAAAAAAAGTTCATGGAAAGATTTATATTATCTTTTAATTCTATTTTTCCATGAACTTTTTGAGGTACCCTTGTATTTATACATATGCAAAATGATATATATGCAGTTGTAATGGCAAAAGACTGAACACAACCTAAATGTCCAGAAGTAGGGGTCTGGTTTAATACATTATTGCACAACCAAGTGATGGAATATTACATAGCCCTTAAAAATATCGAGACGTGTTCATATACACTGGCATGGCAAGCTCTCCAATACATATGAAGTGAAAAAAAGCTAGGTGCTGCTATTTGTGTGGAGGAAAAAAAGATGATTATGTTTCTAAATGCATCCTTTAACTCTGGATCATACACAAGAAACCTAATAGTGGGTATCACTGGGGAGGGGTCTGGACAAAGAGTAGAGGTGGGAGAAAGACTGAAACTTTCACTGTGTATCCTTAGTACCTTTTGGATTTTCTATCATGAACATGAATTACCTACTTGAAAATATAAATACATATTTTTCTTTAAAAGAAAACTAATGTTCAGGTTATTAAATCTGATCATAATTTCTCTTCAAATTAAGATAAAAACAATTAAAAAATTCTTAATGCTAGTATGGAAATGTGAATTAGTAAACAATTTTGCTATATGCATAAAGATACTTAAAAACTGTATAAACCTTGACTTAGTAATTCCAATTCTTGAAACCTTGCCTAAAATATTATGATTAAGAATTCTCATCATAGAATTATTTATAGCGACAAAATTGTAAACAAGCTAAATGTCTAACAGTAAAGGAATGGTTGAATTATGATATGATCACATCACAGAACATTAAGCAATCATTAAAATTATGTTTTTAAGGACTTTTAGATTTTTCATGACATGCTAAATTATAATATAATATTTATAATATAATGTATAATAATTCAAATTTTGGAAAAACAATGCATAAAACTGAAAGAAAATGGAATAAAATGTCAACAATGGAATGCTGAGTGGTAGGATTATGGGTGATTCTTATTTCTTTTTTATTTTTATTTATTTTTTTCTTCTTTTCTTTTTCTTTTTTTCTTTTTGTCTTTTTTGTGACCGGTAAGGGGATCGCAACCCTTGGCGTGGTGTCGCCTGCATCGCGCTCAGCCAGCGAGCACACCGGCCATCCATGTATAGGATCCAAACCCGTGGCGGGAGTGCCACTGCGCTCCCAGCGCCGCACTCTCCCGAGTGCGCCACGGGGTCGGCCCACTTATTTTCTTTTTCAACTGTTTCTGTATTATCTAAATTTTCTAAAATAACATTCTTTTTGTACTTAGAAAAAAAATCATATAAGGGAAAAAAAAGGAATGCTTTTCTAGGAGTGCTTCTCAGGTACAAACACTGCCTTCTCCAGAACCACCTTCATCAGTCCTTTCTGGGGACAGAAGTGATGGAAAGATATGAAAAAAATACAACAAAGGATCAAAGTTTTGCCCTTTTCAACATCTCATGTTGGTACTAATTAGGAAGAGCAAACTGGTCAAGATAAATTCTGTGCTTTAATGGTAAAAGAAGTAAAAGCATTAAAAATGAAAGAAAACATTACACTGGATATGGTGGAGAGAGAAATATTTGAAAGACCAGTGTGAACTCCTAACCCATTCATTTATTAATTCTTTCCATGACTGTTTATTGGGAGCCCACTGTTCTGGACTCTGGGGATCTTTACATTCTAGCCGATAGATAATAAACAACTATATAAATAAGTGTAGAGAGCGGCAGGTACCATGCAAGGCAGGAAGGTGCGATGGATTTACTGGGAAGGAAACACTAGTTAGTCGGGGACAGTCCCTCTGAAGAGGTGACATATGAACTGAGACCTGAATGACAAGAAGGAGACAGCCATGTGAAGGTCGGATGATGAGCATTCCAGGCAGAGGGAACATAACTTAAGCTTTTGTCACCAGCTACTCGGCAGTTCTAGTTACTTTAAATAACTAAGAGATATAATACATTTACTGAGATTTACCCATAAATAATTCCTGAGCTCCTACAAAACGCTACGTGCCTTTGAATACTATAGAACACCAAATACATGTTTTTTTCTTATTGGAACATCATTCAAAAGGATGCTGGTATCTAACTCCACGACCCTAAACGTCCTCATTATGAAGCATTTTTAATGAGTGTTTAATGTGTAGGTTGGACAGATAATGCCAAATTCCAGCAGCAGTGGAAACTGGAGTTGTTTGTCAGAAACAGGTATTCCAGACCCTTGCATGAGAAATATGACTTAATATGTCTTTTTGTCCAGGGAAAGATAATCAAAGGGAATCTGAGAGCCTTCGTTTTTTACTGTTATCCAACCAACAAAACCAGCCCTAGGACATCTCCAAGCTTCAGTTTCCTCACCAGTAAAGTGGGGATAATGAAGCACTGACTTCACAGGGTTGTTGTGAGGGTCCAGTGAGCCAACGATAGACATAAAGCACGTAGAACAGTCCAGCTTCTGTTGCTGTCACCAACCCAGATGCCTAGTCCTGGGGAACCTGGGCTCCAAGCTCTCCCTCATCCCCTTAAACCAAGCATCTGTATTTCACAAGGGCATTAAAAAATTGTCTTCCACAATGCTTCCTGAAGAGCTTTACATGGTGACTGGCAAGCACCTGTTGGAGCTCATTCTCGCAGTTTGCTTCTGGGTGATGAATCCCAGAAGACTTCCCAATGGCCCCAGATGTAATGGGACAAAGTAGGTGGCACGAGCATTTACACCGTGCTCCCCATGACTAACGTTCCTTCTCTGAGTGATGGGCCAGTCATATGACCCAAACCAGCTCACCTCCAACACAGTGCTCAGCCAAGGGCTCGAAGAGGTCGAATGTAGAAGTGGCCCCATCAGACATGGTGATGAACTTCCGGTGCCCGTAAGGGTGTGGTGACCTCACCCTTCCCATCTTCCCATACAAGGCTGTCTGGATGTGTCCACTTTTCCCCCAGATCAATGGTGGAATGTATCTAAGAAAGAAGGAGAAGAGAGGTCAATTTTTTCCACATTCCTTGAATAATGCTCTGAAAAACCTTTGAGCATCTATTTAATCTCTTTCAACCTATTTAAGTTTTTTCCTAGAAAATTCTGTACACTAAGCACAAACATGAGATTTTTTTATTAACTTACAGTCCATGCCATGATTTACCCCTTTTTCTCATTTATTAATACATCCTGCATCAGGTTAGCTTTAGAATATACCAGGATATGCTTATATCAAGAGGATTTCAAATTTAGGGTGTTAATTAATTCAACATGGATTATTTCCATAATATAGAATAAAAAGAAAGCAAGAAATACACTTTGAACACATTCTAACTTGACAGGATTGGCCTCATTATCAAATGAGCTAATGCATAGAAAAAAGCACAGTGGCCACACTCACTAAATGCTCACTTCTTTCCCTGCCCTAACTAGCAGGCCACAGCTGCAGTGGTTACTCCATTAACCAAACCCCTTGCTTTCAGTGACACTGGGAAGGGCAGCAAACTCTTCTAAGAGCCTGTAAGTGCCTTGGGGGGGTGGGAGTACCACTATATGCTGGAATGTGCTGGAAGGTATAAATATTTGTGGATTTAATGAAGGATAAAGGCTTGTTAGCCTAAGCAAGGCAGGATGCCTCCCTAACAAGTGCTTTGTGAAAACATGGAGTGTCTCTCGACCTTGGTAGGAAATGCAAAAATCACAAACTAGTTAATTACCAAAAAAAGAAGGTACTCCAAGTTACAATTAAGAAATGATTATGGATCACAATCACAGTACAGGATGATCCCATTACTGAAACTGCTATTGGTTTCTCTTCCATGGCTTTTAGCCCAAACTTGATGGCTGGGCAGGATTTGTGTCCTATGTAAACTAGAGTCATATAGTATAAAATGGTAATGACATCAATCATCTCTGTATTATATCACCGTGGTGAGTGTTTTCTTAGTAGATTTTAACCTATTTGCCCTTTTATGTCTATCATTTCTCTCAGAACCAGATGATCCCAGAAGCCCTTCTTCAATTTACTATTTTTTTTTTTTTTTGTAATCAATTAAATCTACACAAAGTTAAGGGAAGTGAAGCTATCACCTTAAGCAAGCCAGTTTCCAGGCAAGCTTCCTCTTTGGGGGTGGGGAGGAGAAGAAAGTATTTGAAGACCTGACGGACATGAAGCCACTTGCCAGCCTAACACCACAGGTGCAAATATCAGTGCAGAAGCCATAGTGTTTGGAAAGCACACGAAGGCCTTCATAAGAGCTGAGTAGATAATGACAGTAACAAAAAGCCAGCTAATAAAAACAATGTCAATTGGACAACTGAATACTATACAAGATTTAGATATAGAGTTTATGAGACTTTTCGTACTACCAACTTGGACAATAAATTGTGCATAGAGGGAGAGGAGTGATCCAAGAAATTAAACTCCTGACCACTTCCGGAGGAAAGTTTGAACAAAGTTTTGTTTATAATATAAACTTGAAATAGAAATCTGGTGAGGTTAAAAATGTCAGAAGAACGGGTAGATTTCATATGCCTATCTTCTGATCTTAGAAAATATGACAAAAGAACATAAAATTTCCTTTAGGCTATTCACAAATTTCCTACATGATGACACATCCTGATGCCATGATCCTGGTTCAAGACCATGTCACCTCCTTTGAATCTTGGCAACAGTCCCTAAGTGACCTAGCCTCTAGTCTTGCTCTCACTTACTCCATAGTCCACTTGCCAGTGAAGTGATAATCTCAACACAAACCTGGCCATGGCCCACCATTACACGGGTCCCAGCTTGGTTTGGGAGGCTGGCCAAGCCCTGGTAACCACTTAATCTTTCTGACTAAGCTCCAATAAACCTAAACCAATGGCCCAACTCCACCCTGAATAGGTATACCTTGTGCTGAATCATTCTTATCTGAGATGCCTTTGCTTAAGCTCTTTCCTCTGCTGGAATGCTCTCCTTCACACCCAGTTTTTCTCCTGGCTAGCTACTGCTTGTCTTTCAGGACTCATTTCCAAACAGGTTGCAGGGGGAATTGCCTCTTCTCTGTGCACCCTGGCATAGCACCCTGTACACAGCCCTGTCCTAGCACCCAGATGGTTTCATTAATTTAAACATTCTTTTCAAGCACACCATATGGATTTGACTATAGTATGATTGGGTATTGGCCACTGTCCTCTTTCTAACCCACCTAACCCCATTCTCAGACTGGGGTGGGATAAAATTCCCAAGGGAGGTGTCTGTGCATGTGTGTATTATGAAGCAACTGCCTCAGAATCATTTGGGACTCTCTCAGTTCAGTGAGGACTGGCCAGTTAGCTCAGTTGGTTAGAGCATGTTACTGATAACTCTAAGATCTAAGGTTCGATCCCCGCAGTGGCCAGCCGCCAAAAAAGCAAAAAAAAAAAAAAAAAAAAAAAAAAAAAAAAAAAACTCTCAGTTCAATGTAAGTTCAATTGTACACAGTGGAAGTCTCACAATCTTTAATTGGACAATACCATCTACTGATAAAACATTGTTTTAAATTAACTTCATAATAATGCAACACCAAGGTTTATAAATTTTAATTTTTGGATTGCACTTACTGTGGTGGGGTTTCACTGTGTGTTTTTGTTTGTTTACATTATTTATTCACAGACCAAAAGGAAACAACAACAACAACAACAAAAAAAACCCAGAATAGGTGCCCAGTCACACTGAGTTCAGGGAAGAAATATGGACTAAAACAATAGAATATTTTGAAGTTTATAATAACACTGAAGAGATGCTGCATGGAGAAAGATGCTTTATTCTACTTGTAGTATGTCTGAAAATATAGCTGTTAATAACTCCATTTATTCCGATCCCCACAAGCTATTCTTCCCATCAGGAGCTAGATTCCTTCCCTGTGAATCTGGGCTGGTTTGTGATTTGTTCAGGCTGATGGAATGTGGTGCAAGGCTTGCTGTGCAGATTTGAGCCTGGCCTTTAAGACACCTGGCAGCTGTTGCTTTCACCTCCGTGGAAATGTGATGAGAGGCCGAGAAGAGGTAATCTTGGAGGATGAAATGGAAACGAGAAGCACATACGTTTAAAATTTTACTGATACTGCCAAATTGCCTTCCAAAAAAGATGGATCAATTTACATTCCCACCAATAATGCATACAAGTACCTGTTTGCCTCACCCTCTTCAATAATTGGCATTATCCGTCTTATACATTTCGGCCACTTTGATAGGGCAAAATATCTCGTTTCAACATGTGTTTCTTTTTTTTTTTTTCTTTTTGTCTTTTTTACTGACCGGTAACGGAATCGCAACCCTTGGTGTTGCGCCCGCACCGCGCTCAGCCAGTGAGCGGGAACCGGTCTCCACATGGGATCCGAACCCTCAGTGGGAGCACCGCCGCGCTCCCAAGCGGCGCACTCTCCAGTGCGCCACCGGGCCGGCCCTCAACATGTGTTTCTTAAGGTTGATCCAGTCTATGGTTTAAAAAAAGTTTCTTGTTTTAATTTTCATTTCCCTGATTCATTTCTTTACTAGTTATTTGTATTTCTGTTCTGTGAATTTCCTGTTTATATACTTTGTCTATTTTCCTATTGGATTTTTATCTTTTTTCCTATTGATTTGTAGGTATTATTTTTATTACCCTCTACATTAAGCCATTATCTATTATATGTTGCAAATGTTTTCTCCCTGCCTATTTTATATTTTAACTTTATCTTACATAATTTTTATATTTTGTGATTAAATTTGGTCATTTTAAAATTAAAACCTTTATGTTTTGCATTTTGTTTAAAAAAAACTATTCTAACACTCAATCATAAATATATTCCCCAATATTTCCTTCTTTTACTCTAATAACACATTTGAAAGGATAATTCATTTAAATAATGTATTACCCTTGTTTAGTCCTTTTTGTGTTGCTATAACAGAATACCTGACACTGGGTAATTTATAAAGAACAGAGGTTTATTTGGCTTATGTTTCTGGGACAGCTGCATCTGGCACGGGCCTCAGGCTGCTCCTACTTATGGTGGAAAAGAGGCAGGCAGCTGGCGGGTACAAGCAGATCACATGGCAACAGGAAGCAAGAGAGAGAGAGAGGAGGTGCCAGGGTCTTTTAAACAATCGGCTCTCATGGGAACTAACAGAGCGAGAACTCACTCACTACCCCCCCTCCCCCAGGGAGAGCATCAATCCATTCATGAGGGATCCGCCCCCATGACTCAGTTTCCAACACTGCCACATTGGAGATCAAATTTCCACATGAGTTTTGGAGGGGACAACACATCCAAACTCCATCAACCCTTAAATCCACTTATTTTTGTAAATGATATGAAGAAAAGATCTAACTCATTTTTTTTCTAACAGGTTAGCTTATTTTTACTTAGACAAATAAATGGTCCATGCTTTCCCTACTGATTTCAACTGTCATCTTCAATATATACCAAGTTCCCAATCAAATATTTAGATTTGTTTCTATATTCTCCATTTTAGTTCATCGATCTATTTTTCTATTCATGTGCCAATATGACACTGTTTTAATTAATACAGCTTTATGGGATATTTTAAGAGTTGATAGTGCAGGTGACCTTCACTATTCTTTTTCAAAATTTATTTGGCAGATTTTGGGCATTTTATTTTCCAGATGAATTACAGAATTAGCTTGTTCAGTTCCATGAAAATTTTGGGATTTTTGACTGGAAACACACCAAATAAATATTACCTTAGGGGTAATATTATAAAGATTATCATATTGACTTGTCTCATCCAAAATCATGATGTATATATCCACTATGTCCTACAGTAAAATTTTATAGCTTTCTTCAAGTTTTACAGAATATTCAGTTTTACTACACTAATTCACATGTATTTTTATACTTTTTTTGTGTGAAAATGGAAGTCAGCTTTTATTCAGGAATACCGGTGACGTGAGCAGAGATGTTAGGCTAACCCATCTCTCTGGTTAACCCATCTCTCCTTTAAGCCATCCCAAGGACTCAGG